CTGAGACAGCAACAGCCGGCAGGAGCTGCCACAGTCAGCTAAATGCCTCCGCATTTCCCAGCCCTTTGGGAGGAAACAAACAGCAGTGGCTGGAGCACCAAGGAGAGGGGTGATGTGGCAGTGCCTCTCCAAGGAAACCTCTGCTCCCTCCCTTGGGGCACTGCCCTAGGGCAGGAGGTATCACTGTGCTTAGGGGCCTCCCATGGGAAAAGGCTGCAGCAATTCTCTTTACACATTTTACAGCCTTATCAGGAGGCTTCACTTTCACAGGTGGGCTCTTGCCGTGGTACATCACAAAACTTAGCTATCTAACCTGAGCATTTTTCTTCCCTTAGTCTGGTTTTTACTCTCAGAGGAGCCATTTCCCCCTGTCTGCTGATGTTTGTTATTATTTCTGCTCTGTAAATGCATCTATCATGTTCTTTTCTTGCCAGGTGTGAGCAGTCACAAGTTCCTCATATTTTTCAGGGAACCTGTTTAGCAAGGATTCTGCAAAAGAATGGTTTCTCTTCTTGTCCTGGAAGCGTCACAGTACAGGGCAGCTTGCTGATTGCAGCAGAAAACACTGGAACTATTAGCAGCTTAAAAAGCAAACAAGAAATAAACCCCCAAATCCCCAAACCTCCTTTCCTGAGGCTGGACAGAAGGTCCTGCCTGGCCAGCCTGCTGAGTTGACAAACACATCACATCCCATAGCTGGAATGCTAATTAATTTTGCAACTAATAGGCTGGTGATACACAATGGAGATGTGAAAGAAGGCACAGCTTTGATGCACAGTGTCACCTTCCCCAGTGGGCAGACAGGATATCCCGAAGGCCACATGCTCTTGTTGTGCTGTGCTGGTAGTTGAGGAAGTGTTTCACACCAAAACGAGTCTTTCCAAAGAATCAGCTCTCCATAGAGACCTCTCAAGGGTCAGGGATCAGGAAGAGCTGTGAGTTCCCTACAGGATGAGGAGTCAGGGATAACTCAGTCAGCAGGGCAGGGCTCCCCCATCCCACAGGACATAAGTGAGACCAGCAGCCAAGTCTGGGGATGGCAGCCAGGGCGGACTCAGAGCTCTGATCATGTGTGGTGATAGAGCAGATGAAGGCAGGAGCTCAAAGTGCAGGTCAGTCAGCTCCAGTGACAGTAACCACAGTCAGAGACAGTCCAGTGGTCACCAGAAAAGTCTGATGCCAAACTGGGAGGTCAATCTTCCTGATCCTCAATGGATCAATCAGGGTCCCAGTGTGAGGCCCTGTATAGAGCAGCATATCAGCACCACAGCTCAGGGGGCCATGAAAGTCATGGACTGAGTTTAAATGGAGCCCCTGAGCCCACGGACAGGGCAGCGGCTGGAGGCCCAGGACAGGCTCATCAGGCTAATTACATCCAGGGCCCTGTCATTGCATCTCCACAGCCCTAGCCAGTATCATGGGCAGACACTAAGAGAAATGCCTAGACATCCCATGACATCTCAGCACCAGTGTTCATACCAGGTAGCCCAGAGCTTACAGATGGATTTTGCCAGGTGTCCCCTCTAAGTGCAAACTCCACAGCCTTCACAATAGGCATGAATGCCCCATGACCTCCTCCCTCAGAAGAAGGATGATATTCCATATTACAGAGCAGCCTGTGTCTGCGGCATCGCAAGAAGGTGAGGCAATAACCGGGAACTTCTTTTCCTCCCCACATGCTGATGTGCCTTGGGGCAGGGAAAAGCAGCTGCAGGAGCAGCAGGGCACCTCCCAGCCCATCAGTACAGCAGCAGGGAGGCAAAGACAAACAAAGATGCAGGAAGTGATTATGCCTTCCGATAACAGAGCTGCGAAGCTGAGTAAGCAATTGGTGATTTGAGCTGGCTCTAAGCGTGGGGCTTTCATTACAGACAAACAACCTAAACCCAACAACACAACGGTGGCAGTTGTTTATATCAGTGAGGAAAGTTAAATAACCTCCCCCAATGGATACTGCAGAGGTGGAACATGTGGGATAAGAGTGACAGTGGCATTAGAGGCTGGAAGCTGGCCAAGACACGACTGAAGCACACACACCGACACCCTCATCATTCAAGAGAAGTTCAGTGTTCCAGGAGCATCATGGAATGCTCCCTTCCGGGTGACATTTAACTCAGGCTTCAGACACCAGACGAGAATACAATCTGCAATAACTGGAGGTGCCCAATAATCCAAACCAGAAAAAGATCTCCATTCTGTTGCTGAGCTGTATCCCTGCCATGGTACTCTCTGACCCTGGGTCAGAACATACAAGCTTACAATCAGAAAGATTTAATGAAAAGCATGCAACAGCCAGAGATCCTGCTGGCAGGGGAGGAGGGGAAGAGAGAGCAAGAGAGGAAAAACATATCAAATGGCTTATAAAGAAAGAAGCATTTGCACTTCCCAGCAGCGGATACAGTCTTTTAAGCCATCCAACTTGGGGGAGCTTCCCCTAACTCTGAGACTTCCTTGAAGGCAAAAGATAAACAGATCATGGGGCCAATATAAGGGCTGTGCAGCTGCACAAGTCTCTTAGAAGGTCCCTTTTGTATTGCCTTGGCTTGTTCTTCAAGCTCAGAGGGAAGGTTAAGTTGAAGTCACCTGCTCTCTGATTCCCTGTGTATGCACTTGAGCTGTCGCAAAGGGAGAGGCAGCCTCTGCCAGGGACAAGATTTATGCACTAAGTCCTTTTGAAGTGAAAAATAAAGGAAAAAGTCCTGCAGTTCTGCTTTCAGAAAAACAGCTCTGGGAATATGCATTTCCCTTGCACAAGTTCCATGTAGACATGACATTTAACAGTCCCCAAAAATCCCTCTGAGGAGTTGTCAGACTTGCTGATAGCAATACATGGAAAGTAGAGAGTCTGGCTTCCCATTCTGAGGAAACCAACAGCCAGCACTGCTCCTTTGCGTTGGTTGTGCTCAAGAGCAAATGGGACAGAGATGTTCCCACACCTTCCAACACAGAGCTGCTTTTTCATCGCTAGCTCCTACCCCATCCCAGTACAGCTCTTACCCAGCTCTCTCAATCCACCTATCCACTTACAGGCAGCTGAAATTTCTCAAGAAAATACAGCTTGCCAAAGATTACGCTCCCAAAGTCCCACTGTAGTGCCTCTCCCTAGACTTCCCTTTTGCCTACGGGCCGCTCTTATGTCTTACTCTTCCCCAAAAGTCCCCATTCCTCAGGAGATGCTTCCCTGAGCAAGAAGAGACCTTTCCATTTACTGCTCATATGGTCAGGGAAGGCATTAAGGAAATCATAATCACTGAGACTGCAGATAATTTAGGAATAGCCTGGAAGCAATTTCTAAGGAGATCAGTCATCCTTGGGATGTTCTAGGAAGCTCAAGTTGTGCTGGTGCTTCTTTTGCAGGACTGAAAAAAATAACAATATTGTTTCCAGACTTAAGTGTCTCAGAACTCCTACAGCAGCCATATGAGTCCACAGCAAGGATCCACCCACCACCACAACATAAACTATGGATGGACACCCAGGAAAGAGGAAGAATAGGTCAAAAAATAGGTCCCTTCTCAAACACAAATTATTTACTTAATCTTCAATTATTTTCAGCTGAAGAGATTTTTTTTGGCCTTAGAAGGTTTGTCTTCCTTAAGTGATCCCTAACAATCTTAGTTTCAAACACTATTGTCTTCTTTTGAGAATACACCTTGCACTCACAACACACTCTGATGAGAAGTTCTCTGTGTCTCCTACCTGGTACATCCTGAACCAGCTCCCACCATTTGTTTGAAATCTGCCCACAATTGTTTGCCTCCAATTCTTGCATGGGAAAATGTAGGAATAGGCAGTCCCTACCCATTTGCTTCATCATGCACCTCCAGATTTTGTCAGTCTCTGTTACATTCCCCCTCAAATCATCCCTTTTCCAGGCTGAAGTATTCCAGAGTGCTTCATTGCTTCTTTTATGGGAGTTTCCATGTCTGGACTCAGAAGGTGACCCATAACAGATGGGACAGGCTATGGTGCTTTCCCACTTTTGGAGCACCCTGCTCTTCAGAAGTGAATTTGACTTGTGCTTTCACAAGGTTTTTACAGAAAAGAAAGAAAACGTGGACAAACATTCCTCTTTTTATACTCACTTTTCCTTCATTTGAAATCAAAGGCAATACTTTAAAAGCAGAACAACTTCTCTTCTAAAAGCACAAAAATCCCCTACTCAGAACAGCCAAACAAAAGATCATGACTCAGACATGGAGCTTTAACTTCCTCATCCTATGATCCAAACCTTTGACCTCCAACATTCTCTGCTTCTCTGAGGGCGTCATAGGTCTGCCTGATCTCCAACCTGTTGGATAGATCCACAGCACTTCTCAAAGTTCATGGACCCCTCCCCTCCAGGGCAGGCTGGAAGGATTTTTCCTGGCTAATGTCAGGTAAGGAAAGATTTCTGCTGAATAGCTGCATGTTAAGATGTATTTTATAACCCCCTGGTTAGCCCAGAGGAATTCACTGGCTGTCGAGAGGATCAACACGTCCATAGAGCTGGGATGCTTTGGTATTAAGTTACAGCTTTGGCATCACCCTCAAGTTCAGCAAGTCAAAGGAAACAGTTGCAGGTTGTTTTATTTACTGAGCACCAAAGAGGTAATAGGATAACAGACAAGTAAAATCAAATTTTTAAAAACTACAAATGAACACTGAGAGTAATTTGAAGACGTCTCACATTTTTTAAGGATTTGGCAAACAAAATCTTGATTAGTTTAATACAGACCTTCACAGTAAGGTTGTTTTTGTGGTACAGGGCATATCAAGAGGTCCAGATTTCCTTTCACAGCCTATGGGCATTCCAGGATCACAAGGATTAATAAACACTAATTCCCCAAATCTCGGGTCAAATCAAGAAAGAGCTTTGGACCTTCCTGTCACTAGCTCAGTCTGTTCTAAATACTTCAGAAACATCTGTGCCCCTTGCAGTTTTCCCAGGCCCAGGCTGTGAATGCAGCAAGGTTCCTGCTGCCCAGGGCCTCAGCTGAGCTCAGAGTTAATCTCTGACCATGACCATTCTTTCCTACCTTGTAGAACAGCTCCCGGTGTTCAGATGATTCCCCGGCTCTTACATTCCCAGACTGGTCTGGAGACACAAATTCACGCAGCTAAGGCTGAAAATCAGTGAGGAAGCTCTCCAGATGAAAGCCTGTGCAGCCAAAAGGAAAGCACATTATGCTTTATGATGGCATTGGGAACTTTATTGAAAACAAAACAAGCAAACAAAAGGAGCAGCAGTGGAAGGAGAAGCTTCTGGTCATACTGCCACCAGAAGAAATGCTCAGCAAGCCTTGACCTCAGCATGGAGCCTTTTCAAAGACCAATCCCTGTTGGACATTGGGCATGAACCACCACTCCACACTATACAGAGGTAGCAAGGCATTTAACTTGTTGTAATCTTGATTGCCATCCACCAGCTCAGAACAATGTGTTAGGAAAGCAGCATTAATGAGAAGGAAATACAGATTGCTGCAGAATAGCAATATTTACACTAAAGAATACTGAGTGCCTTTAAAATTACAATTTTTACATATAAAGAAGGCAGCAGGAATTATCATATTTGTCTCCTGCATAAAAATGTTCTTAGGCTTCATTTGATGTCCCAAATTTCTTTTGGCTGAGATAACAAGACATGGATTCTTCAGAGGCTTCAAGAGGCAGAACCACCACTGTATCTCCTGGTAATTGGTGCCAAAATTATTTAATTGTTGCTATTTAGTCACTGTTAAAACCACATACCTTCTTTCTCTAGCTTACATTTATCTAAGTTGAATTTCTAGGTGCTGGATCGCATTATGCTTTCATCTGTTTTTCATCCACACACAGGCACTGCTTTACCCAATGAAATTCACCACTGCATTTTAGGCTGACACAGCAAATGACGTTCAACAGTTTTGGTCAGGAAGGAAAGGATCCTGCATCCTGCTGCATATGTGAAAAGTTGCCACTGAATTCAGACAACCAAGTTAAAAGGTGGCATCCGCTCTGTAGTTAAGGCTTGCTTAGAGCAATAAGGACAAGCATCATCCCCCTAGATGTTTCTGGAGCTTTCTGAAGGGGTGGCCTGAAGCAGCCAGTCAGCAAGGCAGGCAGCAGTTGACTACTTTCAGAGTTGCTATTGAATTACTGCCATCATCAACTAAAGTTATGCCTATATGGGGGTACAATAAAATTCAGCAAGTCTCATCAAAGTTGCAGAGAAAGTTTTGTAACCATTCCCCAAGGGGAGACACGTGGGCAGGAACATGCACCCCTCAGCTGCTCTGCACGATGTGGCTGTGCTGCCATCCACAACCCCAACCTGCTACTGCTGTACTTGAGAAACAAGGGCAGATTTACCCCTTAGCTCAGAATCTGGGTCAAGCTTGCACAGCAGCTGACTTCTCCAGCTGAAAGGTCTCCTGTCCCATCACACAGGCTCTCTGGAGGCTGACGCAGGGCACAGCACAGCCAGCTGCAACCAAACTGTAAAAGGAGAATTTTGAGAATGTAAGATAGAGTCCCATGGGTCTGGCAAGGGCCTAGACAGGGAGAAAAGGAGAACTCAGCTCTCTCTATGAGCTGTGGTACAACCATCCATCTCCAGGACAGTGATGCTGTTCACAATCACAGCAGGAAAACATATTTGTTACAGCAACACTCAGAACAGTCTGTCCCCCCCGCCCAGTAATAACACAATGGAGGAAGCAGCTGATGCAGCCAAGCAGCACCAGCTGGCATTATCTTAACACTCTGGGCTGTAAATTGTGTCAGAGCTGTTTTCTGTGCAGTTCAGCCATCCCTTCATGAGGCCACGAGCGCCAGGGGTAGGGGAGCACAGATAACCCTGGCCAGGACCTGCCCCTGCGGCTCCATACCATATCCCTTATGCAGCAGCTCTGTGGACACCAGCAATGGATTGCTATGATCTTAGAAAACTAGCTGCCAGGCTTTTCTCTCCCAGTCACAGCCTTGACACAAGCCACGTGGACAAGATGAGTCTTGGCAAAGAGGGCAAGTCTGAGTGTTGAGATTAGGAATTTCCCCACTCTGGGCCAGTGGAGAAATAAAGAGCAAAGGGGAACCAGCCTGCTACATTTAACTGCGTGGTTAAACCAAACAAATCTATTTTCCTTATGTCTGCTGTCAAGATGTGGAGGATTTTTTCCATAAAAGAACTGACAGTGGGATATGCATGTGAGATATAGGGAGCAGGTCACTCTCTCTCATTGTGCTGATTAGTCTTTCCCAAATGACATTTTTTATTTTTAATTCCAGGTACTTCTTAGTGTCTGAGAAGTTCCAGACAGGACTGATGCTTGGACAGCTGGGACTCGCCCCCGCAGCCCAGGACAAAGCCAGTCCTCCAGGTAGACTGTGCGTCACAGCCTAGGAAAATTCCTGCTTTCCCTTGTGCCTGAGGCATGTACACACACACACACACACACACACACACACACACGTCCCAGATCCAGCTGCAAAGTAAACCTGCTCTAGTTTGGAGTTAGCAGGCGCAGGAAAAAGGCTGAAACCTGACTCCAAACCTCCAGTATTGACTGGGCCCAAGTGGTCCCCTTTCCATGCCTTGATACTTCCCCCCTCTCACACATGCACCCCCTCAGTCACAGGATCACCAAGCTGAATTCACCAACTAAGCACCCCATGTTTCCCAGCCTAGCAGCATGGAAAACCTGTCTGACAGCTGAAGTTCCTGCAAGAAGCATGATGAGGTGCTAAGAAAATAATTGTGCTTACAAATTCTTTGGGCTGAAACAGCTGCTTTTGTAGCTGGATGGTTTTTGGCTGGCAGACAGCTCTCCCTACAAGGCATCTCTACAAGACACTCCATTTACTTCCTGTTCCCTAGCAAGTCCCTGCAGGAAAGCAAAGAAACTGGGATTAAACATATATGACAGAGCCCAGCCAAGACACACAATCTGAATTCCCAGACAAAGTGCAAGACAAATATAAGCATCACAGAGGAACAAACGTAATATGGGTTTAAGTCTTACATGAGCCCTCTGTAAATGTGATCTAACAGCAGGCTGCACCTTCCAGCCTGGCAGATTCCATAAATGCAAGGTCTGCAACACATCAGAACTCACAAAGAGAGACACACGGAACCAGGGATTTATAAAGAGACCATAGGGACTCACTGTAAACTTGAAGGACATAGAACCCCTACACTCAAATAGTTGTTCGTGCACTGACATAAAATGAATGGGTTCTCTGAGTCCCAACACAGTTCTGCATAACTGGAGTTGCAGGGCTCCAGGTTTTTGGTTGGGAAGAAATTAGAAACAAAAACTTGTCTGAACTCTCCTCTCCCTGTCTGCCTGGGACAGGCACCCGGTCCTCTAACACTATGAGAGCACCTGATGTCTGAGTGACATTGTCAGTGTACCTCCAGCTGTACTACAGATTAGTCAACAGCACATTAAAGGAGGAATAAAGGAGTGGAGCAATACTACCCAGCCACAGCCAAACTTATACTCTTAATTTTCCCAAAATAGTTCTCTGAGGTCCCAGCACAATACTCCAAAAATTAAATTTCCTTCATAAGATTAAAAAATCTAAAGGCTGCCTTCTACCCATGAAAGATTTAACATCATAATTACTAGTAAAACCCTCAAGTGTGAAAACCTTGAGTATTTAATTTGAATGTGGCTCTTCACAGGTTTCTCAGGAGGAGCCTGAGATTCGGGGTACCGAGCAGACACACCATGTCCCACTTCCCAGAGGGGAAATCCCACTGGATTCAGCAGCATTGTCAGCCCAGCAGGAAGCAGAAATCTCACAGGAAAGGCTATTCTAGTGATGTTTCCAGGATGGTTTTTCAGATCAGAGACATTTTGGGATCAAAGCCAAGGCAGAGCTGGCCAGCACCTCCAAGATGGTGGCTAAGTGGAAAATCTCCATAGTGGTAGAAAGAATAGAGGGTAGACACTTTTTCTGAAGTTTCAATTACTAATGAAAGCAATGGGAAGTTTTCCTCTCTCCCTAAAATGTTACATTTGTTTTGGCAGTGGGGAAAAAGAATCCTCTCCCCATCATACAGGCATATTTCCCTATTCCTGAAATGAAAGTGCTTACAAAAACTGAAAAGGAAAAATAATTCTGCCACCAGGGTAATGATTTTTAACAAGTATTTTTAGTATTCACCATGAATAGGGAATATCAAAGCAAACAAGTCCACTTGATACTGTTGACACATTTTCAGGAAGCAACCATCAGTGCGACAAGGACATTTTCTGTCATGTTGGCAGGGGGGCAGTGAGCTGCACACTCCCTCTACATTCAAGGGCTTTGTTGAGCTGGGGTCTAAGCGAGGAAATGCTAAGAGAAGCCTGGAGCCAGAGCACTTCCCATGAGACAGTGAATCAAGACCTCCTGTGAGTCAGTGTCACAGGAGGCAGATTGCAGAGGCTTCTGGAGCTGCAGCCATGGCACTGCAGCAGCCTGGCCCCTCCAGATGCACAGAGACAGACAGAAGCAGGACAGGGAGGGCCCATGTTGCAGCTGCTTCTGTTCCAAAGGCTGGCTAGCATCAGTCATACCTTTGAGAAGGTATCAAAGGGGTAGCAGGCACCTCTGGCCTGTGCTTCATGCACAAAAGTGGAAGAGAATAAGGAAGAACAGCTCAGGAGACTCAGAGGAAAGTACAAGGGATGAGAAACACATGGGTCACAAAGGACATGCAAAGTGCACAAAAACCATGCAATTACCTGCTGCAGAAATGACAGCAGGATCGTCTCATTTCACAGATCCCTTGAGAAAAAGCAGCCTTTCTGCCACTCCTCAACCTCCTGACTGATCCTCTCCACCCAGCTCTCCTCTGTCTACGAGCAGAGCAGGGACAGTACTGGAGAGCAAAACAGCTCATGTGCTTCTGAGAGGCCTACATTCCTCTCCAGTCACCAAAACAACCCAAAACCAGCAAGAAATGGTGACTTCATGTGAGAAAACAAGAGCGGGGAGAAAGGAAGATGGTCTATAAAGCCAGCCAAATATTAGAAAGTAAAGTCATTGCATTCACATATAACACAAAACCTCCGGTTCAGTGTGACCACATCAGAGCCTGTGAGGATTACTAACAGCCTCTGCATGGCTTTTCTGCCCACACCCATTCAGCAAAGTGTACCCACAGCTAAGAGAACACATCTTCCCCTTGCTTACTTATTTGGAGCTCTTGTTTGGAAACTCAGACTCAGAAAACTAAGAGCAGCTGTTTCCAAATACTTCTCAGGTGGTTATTCACACACTTGCAATATTCCATAAGCATTTGTCATTGGTGATTATCTTAGCAAGCACTGTTTGTGAAGCAGAGGTGAAGAAATGGTGCAAGGATACGCAGTTCCCATCCCATTTTAAAGCAGGCCTCTCTTTTGTGTAGCATGGCTGGAGCACACGGAAAACCTCTTCCTAAAAAGTTTCAGGGACAGACACCACAAGCTCTCCTCTGATTGAGAGACAATCTACCTCTTGCTTCATAATCCTCAACTATTTAACAAAGCCTTCCCTCTCCAAAGTTTTATGTTGTATCAGACATAACAGCCTGCCTAGAAGAGGGAGATATGATGAAACATCAGAAAGAAAAAAAGCTTGAATGCAAGGAAACCCTGCAATTTCAATCCACCTCATGCAGTCAGCCTGAAGAACAAGAAGCAAAACCCCAGCTCTGGTGAGAACCACAGGAGTCTGGCAAACAATTTAAGAGCTGCTTAAGGTACTGTGCTGAGGAGGTGCTGCAATCTCCACCCCAGGATGGAGAGAGCACAAACTGAATTAAAAAAAATCTGTGGAAAGTAAAATGGTGAAGGACTGTAAGTTAAGTTTTCATCAATTCCCACTGCAGGGTCAACTCCTGTGAATAGCCCTCCAACACAGGAGACACTCCTTGTTTTCCTCTTGACTTCAGGAGCTTCTCTCCAGCTGTGAGCTACTCACTTCTCATCTGCTTTCTCCTGAATATCTCATCAGCAGCAAACAGCGCTGCATGGATTGTGCTGGAAAGCATGGTCTCCACCTCTGTCACCAGGGAGACTCCTGGAAATTGCAGAAATTCAGGGATGCCAGGGTCCCACCAGCAAAGGGAAGAAGGGGCACCAGGATGGAGTAAACCAGAGTGACTGGATTAATGTAACAGCTGCCCAAAGGGCCGGTCTCAATTCCACTGTTACTCTATAGTCTCCCGATGTTTCCAGCACTGGAGATGCCTACATGAGCCAAATTTAGTTCACTGAACTGACTGAAAATTAACAGTACAAAAAACCACTCCAGCAATGATGGGCTCAGTCACCTGGCCTGGCTGCATCCACCCAGTGCATGTGAGACTATTGCAATGAGTGCCCAAAACGGGTATTTTGAGCAGAAGGAGCACTGGACACTTACTCCCTTGAGAAACTCATTTTGTGCATGCTGAACAGACTTTGTGTGGGCTGGGCTTATGTGCCACTAGTCCACCAAAAGGCCATGAAACAGTCAAT